AGGCAGCCTTGGGTCTCTTGCTCTGAGCTTCTCAACCTATGATCCTTTCTGAGTACATAATACATCATTCACTCCCATTTTCCTTCATTTGTTCATTGTCTTCCTCCCACTTTCCTCCCTGATTCTTCTTTGTGTTCCTCTTTCAGTGGCTCCAGTTCTGCAGCATGTTCCTAGGAGCCACTCACAAACCCCATGTTTTCCATGCTGTTGTGCAGCTTTCTTCAGTGCTGCTCTTATGCCTCATTTCCAGCATCAGCTGACCTCACCCTTCCACTGAACAGCTTTGTCCTGTTCCCAGGCCATGTTTCCATTTCTTATGTCATGGCACAGTTTCATCCAGTATGGCATTTTTATAACAACCAAATATTCATGTAGAATGGAGTATCAGTAGGTGACTGCTTGAATAATGTGGAAAATACCATTGAATTTAATCCAGCTGTAAAAGAATGAAATTCTTTCTGCAATGTTTACAAATGGTCTCCAAGGTATACTGTTAAATGAGAAAAACAAAGTGTACCAAATTTAGTATTCAACCTTTTGTGTAAGAACGGAATAGAAATTAACTTCATAGTCACTTTCCTTATAGAAGTCCTTATAAGAAAGTAATAACTGGCTGTCATGGGACTGTGGCAGTTGGAGTAGGCAGGTAGGGTGAGGAAGTTAGACTTCCCACTGTTTGCCTTTAACATTCTTTTTATTTTTGCAACTACATATATGTATCTCTTATATAAAAATAAAATAATTACATTTCTCTTATATGTCTTAAAGGATGCATTCTTTCAGCCTCCCGCACCCTTTAAAGACCTAGGAAGATATTTAATGGCATACATATGTTTCTCCAGATGGGAAAATATTTGGTAAGTGGAACCTTTTACAAAATCAGAATATTTTGGGAAATCTTTGCATAGCTTAATATAGGAACTGGGGGCTCATGAAGAATATTAAGAGATGGAGGTACATGAATATGAGGTCATATATGTTGCTTCAGGTAAGGTCTAGGTTAGGATACTGATAGGGCAAAGACACCACTCCCAGCCGAAGAGAAGAGGCTGCCCGTTCTAAGGAACTATGCTCTGACACACAGTACCTACCTTCTCTGGGTCCTAGGTACCAAGAGTCAGAGGGAAACAGCCATTCATTATTCCATATTCCAAAGCAATGAACCACTGTGGTCAGAAACTGGAGAAACTTGTATCCCTAACTCTCAGGACAATAGCTTCCTTCTATACTGAGAATTTCTCCATACTTTCCAAATTGATTACAGAAATATTTATTTTATTTTATAGTGCTAACATTAGAATCATGCTAGCAAGTAATATTTCATATTAAGTCTGTTAGGAGAAGCTCTCACATCTGGCCCTAGAATTTCCCTATTGATTTGACTAAAGAGCTTCATTTGGGATCTAATGCACAGACAACCAGAAGTTCTGGGAAGTTACTGCCTGTTGGATAAATTTGACCAATGAAAGTAGAAACCAGTAGATAAATTTTCCCCATTTTTCCTCAGAGGGACAGTTCTAAGACAGTTTATACATCTTCTAAGGTGAGTAGACCCAAAGATCAAGTACTCAGGGGCATCAAGTTTTCCAATGTAATCTCTTTTTGGTTTCATAAGCTTCTTTCTTAGCTTCACATCCTTTGTCATTCACCTGTTCTCATGGAATGTGTCTCCTAGTGGAGTAATAGCTCAGACATCCTTGGCCTTGTATGGGACCAAAGCTAAAAAGTAATGCTTAAATCTGGCACTTACTTTTTTTTAGAACTCATTTAAATATTAAAACAACTCTCTATTCCTATTATTTCCCAAGGATATGTGATGTACATTTGATAGTTGATTCACCCAAGATCAGATTGTTGGTATATAGGAGCTCCATATTTAAACCTAGTCAGCCTAGCTCCAGAGTTCATCTCTTAACCATTGTGTTAAATAGCCAGTCATGCAATACTAATTACGTATCTTTATGGGAATTATTTGTTACTAATTTTTGTATCTTTTGGGGTAACCTAGGTTATATCTTAGTAGCAGACTAAGTATCTTTGAGGTTTACATGTGTATTTTTGCTCCCATTATTTGTTAAAAGTGGGTCAGTTGCCCCTTTGATCCTTATTATCTTCATCATAAGCCAGGCTAATGGGGTGGCTTTTAAATGTGAGTTGGCTGGTTTTGAGACAATAGGGAAAGAATAGGATGAATCATGGT